TCATTAATGAAGAACCCCACGCCGCCTGCAGGGGGCGACAGAGAGACACTTTATTATATTAATACTGTGTTAGCATCATTAATGTCAAACCCCACGCCGCCTGCAGGGGGCGACAAAGAGCCCCTTTATTAAATGAATACTGTGTTAGCATCGTTTAGAGCTGCAGAATGAACAGGTAGAAAGTAACTCATTACACTGCACTACGAGAGAGAGATAAGTATACAATAATAATATTCCAAGAAAAACTCAGAATTTATGGCATAAAATTAAGGCTAAAAAAAAAAATTGCAAAACAATTTTAGATGTGTTTTGCTCGTAAATCTGGGACTTTAATCTTCTGAGAATGTTTAAATATTTTCTCGTAAATCAGTATGTTTTTCATCATTTTAATGTAAAAGAAACACACGTTTTTAAATTACATTATTCTCATACATTTGGGACTTTAGTCTCTGAGAATTTTTGATATTTTTAAGTCTGTTTTTCTTTGTACGTTTATTATTTTTATCTCGGAGGATATCAACGTTTTTTTCTCGTGAATTTACGAAGGTTATCTTGGATTTTCTAAAAAAAAATTCATCTTTGTACGAGAATAAAATAACATCGTATAAGTAAAGTTATAAAAGCGTGTTTACCTGGAGAAACCACGGAGTTGGGGTCGTTCATATCGAAGGCCGCCATGTTTCCGATCGCAAACCCGTATCCAGAGTGAACGTCCGGGAGACCGATGGACCTCTGAGGGCGAAATAAACAACGTACAATTCAGTGTGAAGCTTTAACGGTCCAATAAATCTAATATCTTTAATATGTATATATGCTTTACATTAATGTACACAATATCCAGTGCATGACATTAAGGATGTTGGGAGATGGCCATCTAAGCTAATTTACAGATGGCCCTGAGCCCAGTAGAGATTGCCCTGAAAAATGCTCGCGGACTAAATGACGCACGAAGGGTTTGGGGGGCCTCCCTCTAGAACATTTAGATTTGTGCAGGTCTTAGATGCTGTCTGGTTCTCTAGACTGAATTATAAGATGAACCACCACAATATTGTATTGTACAATTTCAATTTTATTCTTAATTTCACTTGTTTGTTTGTTCTTGTTTGTGTTTGCTCGCTTGCATGCCCTGCATAAGAAATACTAAAGTTGTTGATCAAGACACTTTCCATCTGATGAAGGCAAATGCCTTCCCAGATGTAAAAAAGTAGAAAACATTACATTCAGTTATAACTGCCAAAACAAACATTATTTACACTGTTATGGCCCCTGTTAAAAATGTTTGTAATGTTATCTACTGTAAGTTGGTCGAACGAATGCCTCCTCATCCGGAAGCTGACCGAGCAGACCGGAGCAACAGTCGAGAGGAGCCGAGTGTGCTTGGCATCCGCCAAGCACACAAAATGGCGACGTCAGAGTTCCCGTTAGCCGGCAAATCTAAATCTCTTCGGTCAAAATGTCCGGTCAAAATAATTTCCCTTTAGCGGAATACCGCTTCAGTTGCGCCACTTATGTGACAGACAAGAAGAGTATGTGACAGACATGAAGAGTCAACTCTAATGTCTAACACTTAATGTGGAGAAAGAGATGTCCTGGATGGTTGATTGTGCGTTGATCTGTTGGTAATGCCTCGGGGTTCCGGTGGGCATGTAAACAAATGCATAATGCTGCGCTATACTTTGCGGCCTCACCCAGTTGCATAGCGACGCTTATTGTTGAGGTGTCTTTTAATAAGCAGGTAGTCCTAGCATTAGCTAGAACTAGCTGGATCTGATCGATATGGACATAAACGCGAGTGAAGTCTAATCTGACGGGAGAGAGATCAGCTGCTGCTGACAGGTCGACACGCAGCTCTGCATGATCACATGCAGCGGTGAGCGGACAAAACACACACTTCAGGTTAGAATATCACACGTAGCTATTTTAGTTACCTCTCAAACTACCTGAACTAGTTATAGATATGTTTAGTTTTACTGTCGGGTCACTCATTACTGATCCGCGAGCTGCATGACACTGGCATAATAGATTGCCCGATCGGGCAACCAGCAGGTGAGGGTTCATTGCCCGAGCTAAATACTAGATGGCCCCGGGCCATCGGGCAGTCCTTAATGTCGAGCCCTGATATCTGTTTGTTTTTTTATTATTACTGCACATATTTTATTTTATTATATTGCATTGTAAATACTGCTATATTTTTGTATTTTTAATGTTATTATAGTGTTCTTATAATAGTTCTCTATCTGTGTTTTTTTTATTGTTGTTTTACTTTTATGTATGCACCACGACACCAAGTCAAATTCCTCGTACGTGTTAACCTACCTGGATATAAACCTGATTCTGATATGTTCATTTAATTCATTTCTTATTTTAAAGGTGGGGTAGGTCATTTTGGAGAAACCGGCTCGAGTGGCTAGAATTTGAAAATACACAGCCGGAACAAATCTGCCCCTTCCTCACAGAGCCCCTCCTCCAACACACACGAGCACATGACCAATGAGGGCAGAGATCAGTCTGTGCCCCGATGGAAGGCTGACAGGCAGGTAGGCCATCCAGTTACTTCAGCCGGCTCAGGTGATTGGTCGAGCTTTCTACAGCGCCACGGCTTCCACTGATGATGTTTTTGTATGGATTTATTGTCAAAGCACTTCTTGTATTCATCGCTATCGGATGTTAAGAGAATTCCATGGAATATAACAAGTGTTTCTGAAGGGAATCACCTACCCCACCTTCAACTGTAAATAATTGTATTAATCTCTAATCTGTGAATCTGTGCCGTTGTTCATCCTTATCCTGTTGCTGTTTAAACGACTGAATTTCCCCACAGGGATTAATAAAGGTTCATCTTATTTTATTTTATCTTAAATCCTCCAATTAATCTCGTTAAAACGATACTCACGTGTACGATGCCGGGCAGCGCCGCCACGTTCCCGATCTGCTTCATGGCGGGGAGAAACCCTCCGAAACCTGAAGAGCAGAAGCAATACATACATTTAAAGTTCATCTCTGCTGTGATTGAATAGCTCAATGTGTGAGGCGAACCGCAGCTGACCTCCTCCTTTACAGGCGTTACGAAGCTCCTCGAACATCAGCTTCTCCAGAGGCTCGTTCACGTAGAAGTTCCCCTCGACCTGACGCAAACAATCAAAAAGTATGTGTAATGTGTATTTGTAAAGGGCTTTGAGCATCTGGAAAAGCGCTATAATAAATGTAAGGAATTATTATTATTATTATTAAAACAACTCATTCAAATACAACGGTAACATGCTGTTTTCGTGGTTAATGGTAACGTGGAAGCTGAAGAACACTGGCTGCAGATGGTGTTTTAAATATGCACTGTTGGTTTAATTGATATTAATTATTCTAAAAGCTGCATTTTTTTAGGAAAAAGTGGAAAAACAAATCAGTTTCCAGCCAAATGAAGATGGAAATGTGTTGCTTTTCTTTGTTATATTTAGGTGAATATATATATACCAAAGACTGACACAACCTTACGTTTATTGTGTTATAATCTACTTATTGTTACTGTATAGTGTTATAAATATACATTTTGATGGTCTTGGAAATATTATGCCATGTTATTTTATTAGTGACACTTAACATGGTTAATTAAATACCGTTTAACTATTATGTAGGATGCATATGAAGTCAATAAATAGATTCTATTTTTAACATTTCCACATGTTTACTGATTCAATATTAGGACACACCCTTTAATAGCTACGTTATTAGTCATATTAAAGCTAATATTTGCACAACTGAGCTTCGTCAGCAGGTTTTAACTTTAATTTGCAGCTGATTTCAGGGGGTACTTTCACTGATTATTGTGCCTACATTAACACAAGTATTATGGTATGTTTATAGGCGTTTATCTGCAGGTTAAAGTCTACAGAACATGTGCTAACTGCCTGTATACATAACTGAGAGCTAACATGCTAACAGCTAAAAGTGTGTCTTACTTGCATGTTTGGAACAAAACCCTTTTTAATCCTCCAGGTGTTCTTCCCGATCTTGTCCAGGAACTGCAGCTCATCGTTATAACTGCGACTCATTGTTGTGGGGAGAATATATTAGATGTTTAAAGAGTTTAAATCTATTTTTATGCTGCGTTTCACCGGTTTGTTTAACGCCAAGTGTCAGTAGTCACTGAGGTACGGCAGCTCGGAAGCTATTTAAAGAAAACGCGTTTGGTTCTTTGGCATGATGTATGACATTTCTACTTAAGAAGAGCAGATGAATTGTGGGATTTTTATTGAAATTGAACACTCAATAGTATATGATATTATTTTATAAGTATTGAAGTCGGGAGGCAGTGTGTTGTAGTTAAAAACGTATCTTCTCGCTTGCCGTAGATGTAGTCAAATACATCGTAGTATAATTCGAGCCTTCAAGTACAAGCGGATGTTTGACTACTAGCCTTCAAAACAAAAGCTTGCTATCCGTTTTTGACGTTTATTTTCTTCAATATAACACATTTGAAAACGTGTATGTTATAATTATTTAATAAAGAGACTTTTCTACCATTTATTGAAAATATGAGATAAATTAACCATTTTTATTACCTTTGGGTTTGACACAAGGGGTTTATTTTGAAATTATCTTGGTTATGTGGCATGACGCATTACATTATTTAACTCTTTATGTAAAAGAAAAGCTTTTATAACCTTTAAGATATTGTTGAAACAGTCTAATTTAGTGGATTTTAAAGAAGTGATGTTAAAAACAGTTATTATGTTATCTAGAACCGGCGTGTTGTATAAAGAGCGATTCTACCCGCTTGCCGTAGTTGTAGTCAAACCAGTTGTAGAGAGAAGCTTGACTTCAAGTACAAGCTTCAAAACAAAAGCTTGCAATCATATTTTGTTCTTTCTTTCCCGTAAATTAACACATTTAAAGACATATATGTTACAATAATATATTAAAGAAAACATTCATAAAAAATATGTGATACATTTAGTGGTTTTACTACTTTAATTTGGGATATAATTCTAACATTGCTTTTACTTTGAAATTCCCAACCGGAACCTCTGTGTGTCAAACTGTATTTGTTTGAAGCTGTTTGTTTACAGATGCGATTTATCGGAGAAATGTCCTAAAACAAGCTGGACTGAATCGCTTTAATTCATCATGTAAGTATTTTACAGCTTTGGCAGCTTTTATAAACATAATGTTGGTTACATAAGTTAACTAACTAGCCTGGTATTCAGTTAGTTAGCTAGTAATGCTTCACTGTTACGCAGCAACTTTAAAAACGTTAGCGTTTTAGGAGAAACGAAAACGAAACGTTGCATTTTTTTCTTCTTAAATAACAAATCAAATTTGATGGAAAACGAAATATGTAATTAATTCTCCTTAAATAGCAAGCCATACTTTATAACAAACGTCTGCTTTAATCCATGAATTGGTGCCTGTTTTATTTCTATTGTATTTTGCATTAATGTGTTGTGGTTTTTCAAACGTTATGTTGCTAAGGTTAATTAACGGATTATTACATGTTATTAAATTAATTTAAATCTGGTTTTTGCGCCTAATTATTACATTTAGTCTGTTTTTAAGAGAATAAACCGGACTTAAAACAGCATTAATGACTCATCAGAAAATGTAAAAGTGGATATTTAATTAATTCTTATTAAATAACAAACTAGATATTATAACACACTTCTGATACATTTATTGAATTTGTGCCCATTTTATTTGTATTTATTTTGTATTAATGTGTTGTTGTTATTTGTCCTGTGTGGTTTTCCAAAGTGTAGCTTCCTATTGTTCATTAACTGAATATTAAAGGGGACCTATTCTGCAAAATCCTCTTCTCCATGTGTCCCCTCTGTGGAAAGAGACTCTGAAAGTTTCAGGAACAAAGATTCTCTCTCTTTTTGATCCATTTCTATAAAAACCTGTCTGAAAATGAGCTGATCAGATTTTGGCCACTTTGTGATGTCATAACGATGTTTTGGCTTGTGTTAGCCAATCAGCAACCAAGGTAACCCCCCCCCCCCCCCTCATGTTTCTTTGTCTCCAGAATGAAGCTGAGAGTTCGGATCCTGCGTCAGACGAGTCGCGTCGAATTATCCGGAGAAGATCCGAGTCTGAAGGACCTCTCGGATCTGATCAGAGAGACGCTGCTTTCTGCACATGGACTCAGGTCAGAGCATGGATGTGTAATAAGAACTGGATTCAGCGTGGGAGGCGGGGTCTCGTTCTTTCCTATGAGAGCTGCTCGTTGGCGCATGAAGACAAAATGGCCCAACTTTTGAGAGAGCGAAACGTCACGAAAGTATTCATATAATCCTATAATCCGTTGTTATTGTGCGTCCATGGGTAAAGGTAAATCTCATGTAGTGCTGAACTCGTCACGTGAACGTGCCGGGCGGCGCGGTCCCGTGGGTTAGACGCGCGTTCATAATGCCGAGGGAAATAACTCTCAGAATAACGTTATTAGCACATTTTACAACTTGAGGACCGAATGTTTTTAATAAGGGTGTTGGGAAAATATCACTCGACACTAGGGATGGGTATCGTTTGAAATTTATCGATTCCGATTTCGATTCCGGTTCTGCTTATCGATTCCGGTTCTTATCGATTCCCCGTTTCGATTCCAAAATTGTAAAATAAAGAGGTCAAACGTTTAGATAACAAAAATATATTTATTCTTAAAAGCTTTAACTGAAATTGTTACTAAAAAATATACATGCAATTCAAATGTATTGCACAATAGCTGTGCTTTATTTTAACTGAGCTATGCCTGTGGCAAGCTATTAACAGGCATTACACTGTGCCTTGTCTTTTTATTTTTTAGTGTAGTGGAGCCTCACTTCAGAGTGTTTACCGCGACCTATCTTTGGTGTTATGAAGTGACTGAGCTCGTGAAATGTCTACGGGAGGGCGGGGGAGCATCGCTGCGGGGCAACTGTGGACCTCTGTCGCCTGTCAGCGCAATTTATATGATGCCGTTTAAAAAAATGAAGGGCGGTGCCGGCCGTCAGCGTACGGAGCCGGCCGTCAACGGCCCGCTGACGACCGGCCGTTCTGTGATTCTCCAGGTCCGCCCTGTATTCCACCGGGTCACCGCAGCACCGCGGTGCAGACGGACCCGCTGGAATACAGGGTCTACCGCGTTTAGGAACCGTTAAGCAGAACCAAAATTGTGTATTTTGTATGGGTACCCGGTACCCGGCATTTTCTTATCGGTTCTCATCTGGAACCGAGTTTCGGTTCCCAACCCTACTCGACACCAGGTTGAGAATCAATGATCAGGTTCTAATTTATTCTTGCAAGAAGGATATGGGTTAACTCACACACATGAGGTATGTTGCTCAAAGGAACAGCAAAATACATCAGGCCTATATCGTCCAAAACACGGAGAGTAAAGCCGTAAAAGGACGGTGGCTGCGGGTGTCGGAATGTCAGCCGTAGGTGAAGGGGATGGGACAACTGGGTGGGTCATCTGTGACTTCTGGACTCCCAACAATGTGAGATAACATCGGAGACTGCCTCCTCAGAATAGGACAAACAGCCTGTCTTCTGTTATCATTCGAGGAGGCAGCAGCAAGGTCGTACAGTCTCAGAGCCACACATGATACCAGTGCATTAAAACAACCCACAGAGTGGAGACAACAGTATTTCTCCAACATATCCCTCCTGTTTAAACTACGGAATAACATAGAACTTGGAAAATACAAATGATTATAAAGATTAAAAATTCATATACAAAAGTACCCAAGCGGCTGAGGTAGGTGGATTTATAGGCACATGTTTTAATGTAATCCGAATGGATGCCATGGCCTAATTCTTTCTCTGTACATCGTCAGTTTCTATCACTCAGACCCGTTACTGTTTCCCTGCTAACGTCCCTATACAAGTGTTCACACTGGGTCGTTTATTTAGTTAAAAAAAACTATCCAACGATTTACAGACGTCTCTTTCCCCATGTAAGTCGATGGGGAAAAAGTGACTCCGGGCCCAGCGACTGTTACGGAAGTGTAGTACCGCCGTTTGTCCACAACGAATATTTTCCTCCGAGTCCGGCGCACTTCCCGGGGGCCTTGGAGTGTGCGCTCACAGAGCATGCGCCCCTTAAGGCCCGCCCCCGAGCTCCCACTCAGTACAATGAATGGAGAGAGAAAATAAATCTAGATTCAGCTTTTAGTGCATTTTACAACTTTAAGGACCTAATGATTCTATTAAGGGCTATCAGATAGGTATTTTATTTAGTTAAAAATAAATTATCCGCTGATTTACAGACGTCTCTTTCCATGTTAGTCAATGGGGGAAGTCTTTCTGGGCCGGGTGACGTCACGGACTGATACGGGAGTTGCAGTACTGCCGTTTGGCCACTACGAATGTTGGGCACAGAGCGCACTTCCCGGGGGCTCGGGTCAGACCCCAGAGAAAGGGCTATTTTATACCTGATTTACTTTCTCTATTCTACTGTTTATGATGTTTATACCTCTATACTGTTCATATTTGTAAAACAAACAGAAACAGTGCGAATGCAAAGAGATACGATTAATAAATAAATAAACAAATTATAATAATTCCCTATTTATTAAATTATTTAGACTTCTTTTCCTGTCTCCATGTTTTTTATTTTATTATTAAAGAAATATATATTATTGTTTAATTTCTTGGTAGTTTTTTTAATGTTGTATCTGTATGATTTATTAAATTAGAAGAACAACTCAAATATATTTTTTTAATGATAAAGAAAATATTGAGAAAAATCTGAGGAATTTCTCAGATTTCTGGGTTTTTCTCTCAAAAGATTCCGTCATCACTTCCTGCTCTAACGTCATCACTTCCTGCTCTAACGTCATCACTTCCTGCTCTAACGTCATCACTTCCTGCTCTAACGTCATCACTTCCTGCTCTAACGTCTCTCTCTGTGGCCTCAGGTCGGACAGTGCCTTCAGCTTGTCTCTGAACGGCTCCGAGCTGCTCTCTGTGGCCGGGACGACTTTGTCTTCCTGCGACATCGTGTCTGGAGATCTGATCTGCGTCCTGCTGCCGAACAACGACGGAACAAATCCTTCCAAGAACAAATCCTCCTGCAGCTCCAACACGCCCATCTACCAAAGCTGCTCCTCTTCATCCGCCTCATCATCATCTTCCTCATCTTTCACCTCCTGCAGCTCCTCCTCCTCCTTTAAATCCTGCAGCTCCTCCTCAGACAACCAGCAGTCGGCGGCCATGACCTCCATCCAGGTGAGAGTTACCTGTGGCATCATCTGATGAAACGTGCTTTATTGATCACGCAGTTTCCTCGTGTTATCGGCCGCTTGCTCCAACTTTTTTTTTTTAACAACCCAGCTAACGGGAAGTACACGGAGAAAACAACGGCAAAGAAACATGTTCCCCTGAACGTACAGTTAACGTTAATCTTCCAGCCCTACATTAAAAATGAATTATCTCTTTTTCAAGAGAGTCCTGGCCCAAGAAGTAGGGCTGCTCAATTAATCGTATTTTAATCGCGATTATGGCTTGCAACGATTACGAAAACAACGTAATCGAAATAAAGCGATTATTTTTTTATTATTACTTTTTTTTTAAATCAGTTGAGTTAAAGTTCAGGATAATCAACTCATAATGTTCACATTTTTTTCTCCAATAAATTGATGTTTTCAAAGTAAATGGATAATCGTTTTTAATAATCGTGATATCAATTATTGACCCAAATAATCGAGATTATGATTTTTGCCATAACCGAGCAGCCCTACCAAGAAGTGCTTTTTAGATGTCCCTGAATGTGAATCGTTGTGTGCATGAATGTTTCTGAGATTAAGGTACATTTGTTCTCTCTCCCTTTCAGCCCAGTGTTGTTCCTGCAGCAGCGGACCCCCCCATGGAGTTTTTTCCCCCCCGCCCCTGTACCTGGGACCCCCTGCTGTGCAGCGAGGCGTCGAGGGGGCAGGTTCCTCTCTCTCTGGAGCTCCTCCTCGTCTCCGCCCCCCCCTCCTGCCCAGCTGACGCCGTCATGGTGGCCGCTCACCTGCTGATGCTGGAGACGGGATTCCTGCCACAGGTGAGAGCCCGCAGACTCAACCACGCTAATCTACCCGGTTACAGGATGGGATTTAGAGAGAACTATATATACTTCAATTGGTGTGTGTGTGTGTGTGTGTGTGTGTGTGTAGGACTGTGCTAAAGGTCAGATGCCTGCAGGATGGAGGTCTCCTTCTGTCTATAAGCTGCAGTATTCTCACCCTCTGTGCGAAAACAGCCGAGTCATGGTGCTGGCAGTAACCATGGGCCCTGAACTCGTCATCAACGGTCAGTTTATTAATTATTTTACGAACGTTAGGAGGTCATAACATTTCATTATTGATTTTCTTTTTCTTCTGTGTTTCCCTGCAGCCACTCTGAAGGTGGGGGAGAAAGTGGACACGGTCCCTAAGCTGTGTGTGAAGCCGGACGGATTCCTCACCCCCCAGTGGAGAGGTGTTGTTATTACAGCTACTCTAATGCAGAGATGTGTGAAAATGATCATAATAATAATATATTAAATGTGTGTTTCAGGAGAAAGTGCAGCCGCTGCGTTCAAAGACCTGAGCAAACTGTCTCGTCTCTTCAAAGATCAGATTTCTTATCCTCTGATCGCTGCAGCTCGAGCAGGTACAGGACGTACACAAATATATATAACGTTATTTATTTATTAATTGGAGTGTGGTGTTTATTAATCAATATATAATCTTTATATTTGTCTGTTATCAGCGATGTCTCTCCCGGTGGTGTTCGGCCTCGCCGCTCTCCCCCCCGAGCTGCTGCTCAGAGTCCTCCGACTGCTCAACGTCCAATCAGTGCTCAGCGTTTCCTCCACCTGCAAACACCTGAACATCTGCTGCCAGGACGCGTCGCTGTGGAGGCACCTGGTGCACAGAGACCACACAGGTGAGACACTTTAATATCTCACCTGGTGCACAGAGACCTCACAGGTGAGACACTTTAATATCTCACCTGGTGCAGAGAGACCTCACAGGTGAGACACTTTAATATCTCACCTGGTGCACAGAGACCTCACAGGTGAGACACTTTAATATCTCACCTAGTGCAGAGAGACCTCACAGGTGAGACACTTTAATATCTCACCTGGTGCAGAGAGACCTCACAGGTGAGACACTTTAATATCTCACCTGGTGCACAGAGACCACACAGGTGAGACACTTTAATATCTCACCTGGTGCAGAGAGACCTCACAGGTGAGACACTTTAATATCTCACCTGGTGCAGAGAGACCTCACAGGTGAGACACTTTAATATCTCACCTGGTGTAGAGAGACCTCACAGGTGAGACACTTTAATATCTCACCTGGTGCAGAGAGACCTCACAGGTGAGACACTTTAATATCTCACCTGGTGCACAGAGACCTCACAGGTGAGACACTTTAATATCTCACCTGGTGCACAGAGACCTCACAGGTGAGACACTTTAATATCTCACCTGGTGCACAGAGACCTCACAGGTGAGACACTTTAATATCTCACCTGGTGCAGAGAGACCTCACAGGTGAGACACTTTAATATCTCACCTGGTGCAGAGAGACCTCACAGGTGAGACACTTTAATATCTCACCTGGTGCAGAGAGACCTCACAGGTGAGACACTTTAATATCTCACCTGGTGCACAGAGACCTCACAGGTGAGACACTTTAATATCTCACCTGGTGCACAGAGACCACACAGGTGAGACACTTTAATATCTCACCTGGTGCAGAGAGACCTCACAGGTGAGACACTTTAATATCTCACCTGGTGCAGAGAGACCTCACAGGTGAGACACTTTAATATCTCACCTGGTGCACAGAGACCACACAGGTGAGACACTTTAATATCTCACCTGGTGCAGAGAGACCTCACAGGTGAGACACTTTAATATCTCACCTGGTGCACAGAGACCTCACAGGTGAGACACTTTAATATCTCACCTGGTGCACAGAGACCTCACAGGTGAGACACTTTAATATCTCACCTGGTGCAGAGAGACCTCACAGGTGAGACACTTTAATATCTCACCTGGTGCACAGAGACCTCACAGGTGAGACACTTTAATATCTCACCTGGTGCAGAGAGACCTCACAGGTGAGACACTTTAATATCTCACCTGGTGCAGAGAGACCTCACAGGTGAGACACTTTAATATCTCACCTGGTGCACAGAGACCTCACAGGTGAGACACTTTAATATCTCACCTGGTGCACAGAGACCTCACAGGTGAGACACTTTAATATCTCACCTGGTGCAGAGAGACCTCACAGGTGAGACACTTTAATATCTCACCTGGTGCACAGAGACCACACAGGTGAGACACTTTAATATCTCACCTGGTGCACAGAGACCTCACAGGTGAGACACTTTAATATCTCACCTGGTGCACAGAGACCTCACAGGTGAGACACTTTAATATCTCACCTGGTGCACAGAGACCTCACAGGTGAGACACTTTAATATCTATCAATAATACCTGTATGGCCTCTTTGTGACATATATTAATATTTATTGAAATGTGTTTTCAGTTCGAGATGCCAGCAGAGACACGGACTGGAAAGAGGTGAGTCAAATATAATTCATTTTATATAAATAGTTGTGTATCTATATATATATATATATATATGTTGATCTAATTTATAACATATTTTATAGCAATTTCACAATAAAAAATGCAACCGTTTTTCTTTGTTTTCCCAGTTCTACAGAAAACACTACAAACAACGAAGGGAACGTCTTTGGCGTCACAATCACCCTCGTCTCCTCCCCCACCCCCACCCGATGCACCCCCACCCCCACCCGATGCACCCCCACCCCCACCCGATGCACCCCCCCCTCCCCCCAGGCATCATCGGGGGGGAATACGACCAGCGGCCCCTCCTCCTGCTGCCCCCCCGCCCCCGATACGACCCGATCCACGGCCCCCCCCCCCCCTCCAGACCTGCATCCCGGGAGACCCAGAGCCGCCTGGTGGAGGCCGGCTGACGTGAGGAGGGGCTTCATCTGAAGAGGGAATAAAGATGACAACAAATAAATCATTATGACCCTTATATTTAACATTAGCCTCAATGTTGAAGGTACTAATTCAGATAAAGCAGTTTTGTAACACATCTGAACATCAAGAGTCTTTATTTATAACTTATCACCCTCATAATTAACTTTAGCGTCAATGTTTAATTCAGATAAGTAGGGTCAGGGACGCGGGAAGTCAGTCAGGTTGGGGGTGCGGGTGCTAGTAGAGCCTCACAGCGGCGAAACTGTGGCGCGCTTACACTGTAGGTGCGCCACGTTTGGGGGTGCGAGGGGGGGGGTGCTGCAGCCCCCTGAGCACCCCCCCTTCCCGCGTCCATGAGTAGGGTTTGGTAACTTATTTGAATAAAACAAAGGGTTCATCTGACGACCGTCTTCTTAGAAATAAAACGGCACACATCTGAACATCAAGAGTCTTTATTTACAACTCATTATGACCCTTATAATTAACATTAGCGTCAATTTTAAAGGTAATAAATCAGATAAATCAGAACGGAGGGTTTTGTAACTTCTTTTAATAAAATAATCATTTCTATTTTGCCGTCTTTTATTATGTTTTTATTGGACCTCATTCTGCTCTGATTGGTTAGCTCTGTTGTGATTGGTCAGCCTACTCAGAGATGTCCCGCCCCTTTAGCCTATCACGTACAATGTGTTGAAGCACTAGCCAATAGGAGTGCAGGTGTTGCATAGTGATGTCACCGTGTTCCGAAAGTAAACAAAGGAGTCCAATGTTATTTACTGATATAATATATGTATTTTTTTTATTATTTTATACCAAATTTTGACTTTTTTATTTTATATATTTGACCTAAACTTAAATCAGATGATTCAATAAAATAAAATAAGGTCTCTTTAAATCCATATTGTTTCCACGGTCGGGAGATCATGAGACAATGACGTCATCTTTTGTCTTAAAACAAAGGGTGCGTTTGTTTACCAGACGAAGAGGTTCCCTTTCAGGCGGGCGGAGTTTAGAGTGGTGTAACACCGGTGTGACGAAGAATGCTGTCACCCCTATGTGTCACCCGCTAAATCATGTGATCTGATGGGGAAATACAGATGTTTTTTGTCACCGTTTAATCTGTAATTATAAGTATTTAGAGACGGTTAAAACATAAAATAGCCGTTGACGTTAACCTGACGTCATTACGCCAGTCACAACATTATCACAGTTGTTCCAACGGACGTAAAATGACCGAGATTAAAGCAGCAGACAGGTAATAAAACACCTTAAATAACTGTTTAATTTCTCCAACGAGGCACCGAAACTCTTCTGATAGATTCTGTTATTTAATCCGGTATTTTAAAATATTAAAAGTTGGTTTAAAAGCCTACATTTGACCTAATGTAAGCCTTAGCTGTAGTTAGTTTTTGAGTCAGACAAGCCAGCCGGGCGGGGACTATCCGGCTTCCTCCTACCGACTAACAGCAATGATAACACGGGTGCGCTTGATTTAAGACCCGCTGAGCACCGGAGGCCAGCGGACCCGGATTCTACTTCTTATTTTTCTGTATTATACCTCGGTATATCATCAAATACAAATAATCTAATCCTTTATATTTAACCTTTAAAAACGTTTAAGTATATTTTTAATGTAGTTAAATCACCCAGACTTGTGTTTACACCTGCATTTATTATATTAAAGCTCCCATTGTGTTGTTTTACATATAATAAGGGAGAGTTTTACTACTTTATCTTCACAGAAACATTGTTAAATAACTTTGATTTAATGTAATCCATTAATTAACTTGCGTTCTTTATTTACATTTAAAATATAATAAAAAAATGCCATGCCATTTTTTTTTTATTGTTGAAATAAATATTATTTACTAAATATGTTATTGTAATTATTATTGTTTAGTTATTGCCCTGTATTTCCTGGCACTAAAGAATCCAGGTGACTTCCCTCCCTGTAACACCGCTGTTTCTGTCCCTTTAAAAGCCTCGTGTTGTTACCGGAAGTGTGAGGGGTGTTTCCATCAGAAGCTCCACAGTCTCTCTCCTCTCCTTCAAAAAAGCCCGACTTTCAGCTCCTGTCAGCGGCTACACAGCTCCCCTCTCCCCGGGAAACACCTGCGGAGGAACCGGGGGATCCTCATGGTCCCAGCCGCCCGGAGATGGCGTCCTTCCCCGGGTTGAGTTCCGAGGATCAGGCGGAGGGAGACGGGTCTCTGCTGGAGATGCTGAAGGCCATCGCGGAGGAAAGGGTCCGGATCAGCGGCCGGCAGGAGATCAGCGGCCTGGGTGAGGAATATACCCGGGAGAGAGGGTCTGAAAGGGGGGCGTTGACACCGGGGAAAGAGGCTCTGTTAAGGTTTATATACCGGGGAGAGAGGGTCTAATACACCGGGGAGAGAAAGGCTTTAGAGAGGGGGTCTGTTAAGGTTTATATACCGGGGAGAGAGGGTCTAATACACCGGGGAGAGAAAGGCTTTAGAGAGGGGGTCTGTTAAGGTTTATATACCGGGGAGAGAGGGTCTGAAAGGGGGGCGTTGACACCGGGGAAAGAGGCTCTGTTAAGGTTTATATAACGGGGAGAGGGGGTCTAATACACCGGGGAGAGAGGGGCTTTAGAGAGGGGGTCTGTTAAGGTTTATATACCGGGGAGAGAGGGTCTGAAACACCGGGGAGAGGGGCGTGTGGTGAGGTTTATATACTTCGAGAGGGGGGACAGGCTGCAGGAGAGCAGGCAACACTGGAGATACGAAGAAGATGGACCTTTATTGATCCCCGAGAGGGAAATTCAGTTTTCCACTCTGTTTTTTATATACATGCATCATGATACAGGTTCATCGAATACACGCAGTTATACTCGTGCACACATGCACTTTTTCTTGTACAAATACACACGGTTATATTCACACATGCATGAGAGGATCCAGAGCGGAGAGGCAGCCAGTGAGCAGAGCAGATATTAAGGAGGCAAAGTGTCTGAGGTTACAGCTGATGGAGGACGCAGAGACACTTAACCAAGGAAGAGACTTCAAAGCACCACGCTCTATAAACAGCTGCAAACAGAAACCTCCTGTCAGACATGAGCGTCTGCAAAGACATGGAAATAGCTCCTAATATAATGGAGTATTATTTTAAAGACTGATCATGTGACCGACACCAACTGTCATCGAGTCATCATGACGGCCCGAAGCCACTTTCCTCGAACAGGAAGTTACATATCTCTTTTTATTTTAGATCTGTATTCTCCTGCAGGGCCACACACACACACACACACACACACACACACACACGACACACA